ATGTGGGGGACGGCACCTCCCTGAAATGAGAGGGACACCTCCCTGAAATTGCTTCTTTCAGGTTGGGATCCCTGTTACTCGCCACTCGGCTTCCTGATTGCCCTGGAAGCCGGCTACATGTTCCCCTACGGCATTGCCGGTCAGAGGAAATCTTCCTCTGACCGGACGTTACTGTATCGGGGGAGGTATCGGAGCATTTGGGCGAGTACGAGTACTTGCCCAAATACTCGGTATCGGCACCAATACCGATACTAGTATCAGTATTGGTGCATCCCTAGTTTATAGATAATAAAGGGGAATGATACCATTATTTTTTTTTTAGTCATTGTAGAATCTTCTTCCTGAAAAGTTCCCTGGAGGACGCAGGAGGAGTAATGCTAACTTTTTTTTTTTTAGTGGAACTCGCCTCATCGGATATACTTCTGGGTGTGTCAGATTCCTAGGTAGCCCCTCGTGCTCTGGGGTTCCTATAACCGGCCGCTCTTTCCTCCACAATTGTGTACAGGGGAAGTAAAGTGAGCACAGGCTTTAAATTTGGTTCCAATGTTTCACTTTTTACGTTTTAATGACTCTTATGGACCATCCAACATCTATGTGTTCCATGTGCCCCAGACCTCCACCAGAGGCAGATGCCTGATGGGACCTGTAGTATCATCACACCTGGAGGGCCAGTGTTTGCCTTCCCCTGCCCTCTCTCTTGCCTACCCCTGCCTAGGGCAGGGGTAGGCAAACCTCTAGCCCAAACCCCTCCCCCTTGTGATGATTCTACAAGCCCCATAACGCATCTGGGAGTCATGCCTGTGGCCATCAGGGTGTTCCAATACCTAATTGGAGTTGTAGTTGCACCACAGCTGGAGTTTGCCTACCCCTGCCCACCGCCATTACTGTTCCTCATAGTGATATAGGGAAAGCAGTCACGGAGCGTGGTGTGGGTGTGTCACACCCAGAAGGGTCCATGTACTTGTCTGTGGTGCTCAAACATGCATTATGTCATGCGTTAATGTGCACTGCATTGGGACGGCCCAGTAAAATAAATGGGCTGCTCATGCGCCCTTATGAGCACTACTGTGCTATGACGCTGGTCCTCTGGGGTGCCATTTAACCACGCAGGAACGCATGTATGTGCGTGCTATAACATGAGCGGTACCATGATGCATAAGTCTAAACGAGGCTTGAAGATTCTTCGGGCAGCTTTGCTCTGCAGGGGAGTCCAGGAACAGGCATCAGAACAAGTGTAGACCAGGGGTAGGCAGCCTGTGGCTGTTGTGGTACTACAAGTCCCATGAGGCATTTCAAAAATCTGACAGCCACAGGCATGACTCCGAGGCAGATGCATGATGGGATTTGTATTTTCACCACAGCTGGAGGGCCAAGGTTGCCTACCCCTTGACAGAACCCCCTAGTCCGACCACTATACTCTTCCTGCACCCCTTTATTTCCATTCCTGCTCGTATTACCTTTATATCACAGAAGCTGTGACATATACACACTTTGCGCCCGTTATTTCCCCTCCTGTCATATCGAACGGTGAGGCAGCGCTACACATGGGCTCAGAATATGGGCGGGAATAAGCTTTGCCGAATTCTGATTGGCTAGTGTTCATTCGTTCTGCTCATTATTCAAGGGAGGCGTGCACCAAGCTTTCTTATTGGTTCCCTGTCACAGCAGAGAAAAACCCCGCCTTCTGATTGCCAGCCTGGTCTCTTAGCAACGAGACGCCTCTCTTCCATGTAGTTTACACGGTTGCCATAGTGACAGGGAAGCAAATTGCCAACCATGTCGGCTCAGGTGCTCGTCTCCCGTCCGCTGGCTCCTCAGAGCATCCCCGCAGTCAGCCTGCCGGTCCGCACGGTGGAGGCGCCCTATAACACCGGGGAGAGCTCCTCGTCTGGCCTGGCCACCGCCGGCTTCCGCACCGCCAAGTACCTGCTGGAGGAGTGGCAGCAGGACGGCTACACGACCTTCTACCAGGCGTTCAGCGACCGGGACTCCTCGGAGAAGAACCGCATTGAGGCCAAGCAGCTGGCGGCGGAATGCGAGGCCCGGGCACAGCGCAGCCAGGCGGACTCCACCAAGAAGCTGGGCGAGAGGCTGCTGGACATCCACTTCTGGCGATCCGAGCTGGAGAGGGAGATCCGCGATGTCACCGCGGAGACCGACCTCCTCCTGCAATGCAAGAACCGCCTGCAGAGGGCGCTGGACGCCACTCGCATCCCCTTCACCATCGCCACAGACAACCTGCTGTGCAGAGAGCGCAGAGTGGGGGCGGAGCTGGTGCGGGACGGGGTGGAGGTAGAGCTGATCAAGGTAAGAAGGGAGGAGCTTATCAGGGGCCAGGGCTGTGGGGGGTGTAGCTTTTCAAGGTATGAGGGGAGGAGCTTATCAAGTGGCATATCTGTGGGTGGAGCTGTTCAAGGTACCCGGGAATAAGGCAAAGGGGCTGTTCAAGGTATGAGAGGAGAAGGGAGGGGCTTATCAAGGGGCAGGGCTGGGAGTGGATCTGTTCAAGGTTCCTGGGAATAAGGGAAGAGTTTATCAAGGGATGGAGAAGGAGCTTATCAAGGGGCAGCATTAGAGGAGGAGGGAGCTTATCAAAGGGCAGCAATGAGAGAGGAGCTTATCAAGGGACAGCACTGGGGGTGAAGCTTATCAAGGGGCAGCACTTGGGTAGGAGCTTATCAAGGGATGGAATTTGGGTGGTGCATATCAAGGAGCAAAACCGGAGAAGTTAAGGGGGCTTGATAAAGCACAGCACTGGGGGAGCTGATCAAGACATAGCACTGGGGGTGGAGCTTATCATGACATATCAATGGGGGGTGGAGCTTATCATGGTGAAGCTTTTCAAGGGCTGGGGAATGGTTTATAAAGTTATATGATGGGGGTGGAGCTTATTATGGTACACTGAGTGGAGGAGGAGCTTAAATCCCACCTCTGGCCTCCATGCTCCACCCTCTCAGTGCTCCTCCTTAAAGGTCCCCTGCATGCATTTTATGCTGCTTGTTCATTTTGTCCTGCTGACTTGGTTTAAATTCGATCTGTGGGTGGCCCTGCTGTCACCACCTTGCTTCACAAAAGTTAATCTGGAAAATTGTTGGCCAGGCAGCCAATCAGCGACACTCACTGTTTGTGTATACTGACAGCATAGAGCACTGGCTGTCAGAATACAATAGCCTGCAGGCCATGGACCAATATGCCCATACACATTAGCATGTCATTGACCGCTGTGGATCTGAATAATCTGCATTTCCTTTATCTCTAGGAAGCGGAGCTTATTAGGAATATTCAGGAACTCCTGAAGAGGACTCTGGAGCAAACCATCCAGCAGATAAGGTAGAGATAACAATGGTAGAATCCATCCACCAAACCACATACAGCACACACTCACTGCCACCATTCTCATCATACATGTGGATCAGAACTGAGAGGAAAAGGATTCTATCAGATAAAGTAACACACACTTTAATATTCAATGTGATCGTACATATTATAGTCTTGGGGGTTGATATGTGCAGGGCCATTCACCCTGCAAATATCTGTGAATATTCGTCCTGTGTGAATATATGCACAGATGAACATTCTTTAGTTTTTCCTTTACCAGAGTAATTACATTTGAATGTTCTGATTGCAATATCACATTATGGCCACTAGATGGAGTGTAGGAGCATGGAACATAAAGGCCTATTTCCTATACTCCCTTAGCGCCATCTAGTGGCCATAATGCAATATTACAATCATAACATTCAAATTTAAAGCAGAACTCCAGGCACAAATGTTCTTAATGACATTGGGTCACCCTACCTCAGGCATGGTACTGTTGAACCAAGTGTGTATTGGACTGATAGAGTGAACTTTGTGTAACAGTACCAAGCCCTGAAATAGGTGGACCATTTGAAACGTCCAAAACGCGTTGGCTTTTAATGATCATGAGCTGCCCTGCTCTGATGATTAATGATTTGATGACTATTCATTAAGAAGCAGCAGGAGAGGTGAAACATAGCACAGATTCGCAAAATGAATGAAGCAGAAGCAGGGAGATTCTTGCACTGTAGGCCCTGAGGTGCAGCTTCCTCTCCAGCAAGGAGAACAGTGACCAGCATATTAATGACATCACCAAATCTCCTGAGACTAGCAGTCAGAGGCAGCAGTGCCTTAGATCTCACACTGCAGATATACAGCTTTGGGGCTGCACAGGAGCACCTAGGCACCCTCACATGTCACATTTCTAGATGTCCCCTATAGCATAGCAGATCTTTACTTTCTGAGATCAGGTTCACTTTAATGGAAGCAAAAGAGTTCTTACTATGTTCCCATTAAGTGCTTTACACTGGCAGCACCCAGTGCTACCAATACCTCCCACTGCTCTGCTCTGTCCACATCTGAGTTTGCACACAAAGTGGATTTATATCCTTGGCAGTGGCGTCACAAGGGGGGTGCGGGCCGCACCTGGGTGACACCAAAATGACTGGCAGTCGTTTTGGTGTCACCCCCTCTAAAAAGTCGGGCACTCGGCCATGGACTGAGAGCCCGACAGTTATAGGGGAGAGAGGAGGAGACCCGGCGGGATGAGGTATGCCGTCCCCCCCTCCTCTTTCTGCTGGTGTCCATCACCAAGATGGCCGCCGGCAGGCGTCAATTAGATGGGTGCACATGCGCGATGACATCATCGTGCATGCACGTGGTGATGTCACGCGCATGTGAGACGACAGGGGTGACCCAATCAGCTTCTCTCTTCAGTTTGCTCAGGTAAGATTTGAAAATGAAAGAGAGAAGCTGATTGGCTGCAGTGCAAATCTGCTCCAGTTTTGATAAATTCCCCCCGATCTGTTTTGAGAAGATATTTTGGCAGATTTTTGGTTTATTTTTAGCCCCCCCCAACACAGCCGTAAAGACCTTCCTGTCTGTTATCGGCCCAAGAAGCGTAAGGACAATTCACCCGTGTAACACCGGCCGTGGCGACTCGTTCACACATTTTGGATTTATTTACGGCGAGCCGGGTATCAGACAGCTGTCAGTAGTTGTGAAAGCCGGCAAAGAAGATGGTTTGATGTTGTGTGCCATCGGCTTTCCATACAGGAGAGGTGGTCAGAGGTCAGAGGTCACCAGAGAGGAACAGCCGGCTGATTGGCAGCTTGACAATCGCAAGCGTCTACAGAAGGCTGTCGGGCTTTAGAGAGACTCATCATCTAAAGGAGCTTTACACTTCTATGTTTGAATTCTATTCTAGGTCATGTGGGAAGGCAGTACAGGGAATAGGGAAAGAAGACAGATAACAAGTGAGGACTACGGTGGAGATAAGGATGTGGATGGGGATCACACTAATGAGGGAGAATATGCACTTTCACAATAGTATGTTATATTAATATAGAGAGAGCTTGGTAATGCAGAAATATCAGAGAATACGGAACTATAATTATCACCAAGGCTGGACAGGGTGACAGTCTAAACCAGTCCTAAATTCAGCTACTGTTTGATGCAAAAGCCTCATAAAGTCAATGAAAAAAAATCCATTTAGCTCCCCTGACTGAGCCAAACTCTACTTAATTTGCGTCTCACAGGCTCCCCCTCCCAGACACTGCAGCTCACAGTTGGAGGTTTCCAGCAGCAGAGGCAGTGCTGTCAATCAGGAAAGCAGTGGGCGGGACTAGGCGTGACCAGGTGCTGATTGACAAGCTACAGGCTTGTCAATCAGCAGTGACAATGCTGATACCCACACCCCCTGCAACACCTTCTCCTTTCACTATAATGCAAGCAGGAAGAGCCTACGTGAGGGTGACAACTCTGCTTTGAATTTAAGAGCAGTGCAGCATCATTGTCACCCCATCACAGGAAGTTCTGTACTTCACTAACAGGGCCAACAGTTATTTGTGGGACTTTGCAGGAGGACTAAGGGGCAACTGTAAGCGCAGATTTAGTTACTGTTAAGGAGAACTATGAGGTGAGTGAAAATCACTCATCCTTATAGTTGGAGCCGACGTGTGACAATGAAACTGTCACACGTCGGCTCAATAGATCAGGAAGTGAGTGAACACATACCGTCCCTCGCTCACTACTCAATCATCTCCGGGCAGTACTGTCAGTCACCGCTCCCCGCAGGGATTCCCCCCCTCCCGCTCCGATCCTCCAGCGCTGACTGGAGGAATGGACAGGGGAGTGGGTGGGCACAGCTGGCTCTGATAGGCAGAGCCTGCTGTCACTCACACAGCTGGGTGGATCCAGACAGTAATGTCGGGATCCGTTCCGGCTGCGGCGGTCTCAGTATACCGTGAGCTGTAGCTCGCGATATACTGAGCTTTGGGTCACAGGAGGACGCTAGTATATGTCCTCCCGTGCAGGGCCGGATTTACTTGCCCTGCCGCCCCAAGGCCAGGTTCCGCATTACGCCCCCCCCGCCCCGTGGCAACCAGATGGCAGGGCGGCGGGGTTAGTTTAAATTTTTTTTTACTGTTTATTTTTTTTAACTTTCTTATCACTTTTTATTTTTACCTGCAGTGAGAAGAGACTTGGCGGCGGAGCCCGGAGGACGGAACCAAAGTAAAGAGGTAAGTGCAGGGGGAGGCTGCACACTCGCCGAGTTCACATGTAAACGGACAATCGGCTGCCTCACTCTACATTTAGTCCTTCTTGTGCAAAGCAGGACTGAATGTACAGAGGGCAACTTCCCCACAAGGACACCGCTGCCGCCCCTCTGTGCCCTGCCGCCCCGAGGCCGGGCCTTGGTGGCCTTTTGGGGAATCCCAAGAGAACTATGGGGAAAAACACTTACCCCATAGTTCTCTTTTAAGTGCCGCAATACATATATACATAATGGTGGCCTATGTGTCTACTTCAAAGGGTATCTAAGGTGAAAAGCTGAAAATAAATCTGTATTGAGTTTCCATAAGTTCTCCCCCGCTCCTAATAACTAGATCCACCTAGAAGTCTGTAAATTTACTTATTGAAGATGCCCATAGGATGGACTTCTCAATGTGTAGTGTGTAGCACTACCCTCTGTCAAGTTTATATTGCAGCCTTAGTCCTATTTAGGCACATTCACCCCTCTATATTTACTGGTGATCATTGACGCCAAGAAAGAAAGTGAGGGGACTTTCAATACTTTAGGGTTGTCCCTAGAATAAGAGGTAAGGGGAAATCCTGCAATGAGGACAACTGTTCCGGGGACTACTGTCCAAGAGGGAAATTCCCCTTACTTCCTCTAACTTCCTGTTGTGTCTCTGGGACAGGAAGTAAAGGGAAGTTTCCCTTATAATATACAGACAATAACAAAAATGCCAGCAAGGCTTCCCTACCCTATCCAAAACTCAAACAATGTCTGGGCTACACATTCACTTTAATGCAGAATTCACTAGCCAACCAGTCCAATAGTGGAGGCCGTTTATGTCATAAAAAAGGAGAGAGCTGCAGAGGTTAGCTGTCACTTTTAGGGGCAGGGCGGTAATTATTGTTATCTCCGAACCTGTACTCAGTCGGGGAGGAATCTTGGCTCTTTAGCTGTGTCGATATTTGTGTCTCCTCAGGATGAACAGAGATGCCAAGGAGAAGCTGGAGATGGACTGGTCAGACAAGGTGGAGGCGTACGACACGGATGATAAGTGCGGAAGATACAACAATCAAAGTACTGAGATCCAGTTTCATCACAATTCCTCCAAATTAGAAGACAAGTAAGAACAAGACGTGTGTGATGTATAACAAGGGCCCCACATGGTGGTCATATGTGGAAAGATTCATAATACATAAGGCTCTTCTTGTGTATGAAGCGCAAATGCTGGGATGTACTGTTCAGGACCGGGGAAGGTTTTGCCCAATTCTCTAATGATCAAGCTGAGATACATGGATATAGTCCATTGGCCATAGTCCAGCAGCGCACAAATTTCCTTTCAGCAGACTGTTTTCACCTGATTTAAAAATGGCCGCTAGATGTCAGTATAACCTCACTGCATGCGTGGTATGCACTTTCTACAGGCGTTTTGCCATTTAGGAAGAGATAATATTCATTGCTTTTCCGGATTCCACGGGAGGTGCAGGAGGTCAAACTAAATGAGATCGTGAGGCTGGGTTCACACCTAGGCGTATCGAATATGTGCGTTTGTCGCGCGATTCGTGGTAAAAAACTGTGCGACAAACGCGCGTTTCCGAGGGCTACTTGGCTGTATCCCAATGGAAACACGCAACAAAAACGCCCCAAAGAAGCTCCTGTACTTCTTTGGGCGTAGGGCGTTTTGTAGCACGTTCTTACGGCCTGTAATACGCCCAGGTGTGAACCATACCCATAGGAGATAATGGGATTTCGGTGTTTGAGCGTTTTGCAGAGCGTAGGAACGCGCTACAAAACGCCCAGGTGTGAACCAGGCCTGAGACTTAAATTATGTTCATAGTAAAGGTTGCTGCAGAAAGGTATTTTCTTCTATTATAGTTACTGATATGACATTGGAATGTTTTTTTATGGATCATTTTAAAACCGTATTAAAGGGCCAGACGCTCATAATTCATGTTAAAAACACTTTTGAGGAGGAAAAATAAATCCTTATTTACATACATTACAAGGTTTTTATGAAACTTCATAGATTCTTACCTTGCTCTGTAGATACTGAGGCAGGTCCTTGCAGTAACTTTCACCTTTCTGAGTAGGAGTGTCTGCCTGCTGTTGTCACATGATCACTCCCGGTGTGGTAAGAAGAAGAACATTGCTTCCTTAGCATCCCTGTAGACACCCTGTTTCCCCGAAAATAAGACCTACCCCGATAATAAGACCTAGTACTATTTTTGGGAATTGCTAAAATATAAGACCTACCCTGAAAATAAGACCTAGTTGTGACCATTCCCAGGGCCGGTGGTGGCATAAGGGGGAATGAAGCCAGCGCTAGAGGAAGCGAGGCGGCAGCGCAGGGAGCAGAGCCGCATAAGCCGATGCCTCCTCTATAGCGCCGGCTCCTGTCACAGGCGGAGTGATACCGAATGCACTCCGCCTGTGAGGAATCGATAGTGAAAGTGCGCTTTCGCTCATTCTGGCCAGCGATTGGTTAGCAAATTGCTCTTGGAAAGGTACAGCACCCTTGATTGCCCTGATCACCATATTTTTGTACATGAATACATGTAGACTTTTCTACATGAATAAGTGTGGATTGTTGTACATTAAAAAAAATTAAAAAAAATAAGACCTACCCCGAAAATAAGACCTAGTGTGTTTTTTTGAGCCAAAAAAAAATATAAGACAGTGACTTATTTTCGGGGAAACACGGTATAGGACTCATGTAACATACAGTATGTTATCCAATACAATGATTAGGTTTTGGAATGTCGTCTTTGCTCAATAATAAATGTTTTCAGGCACATCCCCTATCAGAGCGATGCAGTCAGTAAAGCTCATGCGTCCTGCTGATTGGAGAGCTCTGAGCAGGGGGTGTGTCTGACCTCTGCAGAGAGACCACTGCTTCCACACAGAGAGCAAGGGTCCTTCTGTGCAGCATGCTGGCAGGGGACAGGCGTTTCTACTCGGAATGTGGATGCTTTCTAAACCAAACTGTAGTACTTTGCACACCTTTAGTTTGGATGCATATACAGTACCTTTAGCTCATTTAAACTGAAAGTTGAATGTGTTTTAGGTGAGGGCAGTCTGTAAACTCACCAGCTAGGTTTCTAATGTTATCCAGAAACATTGAAAGTGTTCTAAAGGCAGACAATCCAGTCATCTATCTCACCAGGGACTCCACTTCCTGCGGGAACTTCTAATTGGGATTGCATGTGTCATTATGTCATGTGGAGGAAGCTTGGCAAACTTGGTAGGGAGCCAGTAAATCTGTGGGAACGGTGGGAATGCCATACACATTGACCAAGCCATATGTGTGACAGCTTCTTGGCCCAGAAGGGCTAAAACTTGAGACCCTGGCAGCTAGTTGGTAGCACAGGGTACTGGGGGCCCAAAAACCTTTTAGATCCTCCATATTACTGAGCTGTTAGGTGGGGTCAGGCATACCCTGATATACATTCTAGCAGAGCAGCTGGGAGTATATTTTTAAATAATTCACAGAGCAGTTCATCCTACGAAACTTCGTGAACATTCAAGCTGTGTGAGTGGAGGCAAAAATGAACATTCTTAGTATATTCGAATGCAATATCAGGAGAATACTGCTTTGTGGTGTCTAGATAGAGCTGAGAAGCAAAAGAAAGAAAGAATGAATGTTAAGTCTGTGTAAGTAGGCAAAAACGAACCTTCGTAATATAACTTGTCTTTCCAAGTTGAATGTAATCTAACAAAAATACTCAGTTATGGCCACTAGATGGAGCTGGGGAGATTCATATGCTCCTCATCTCCATCTAGTGGCCATAATGTGGTATTTTCCTGATATTACACTTGACTTGGAAAGAATATATGCTTATCACGTACCTGACTGGAGACTCAGCTGAGAAGGGGGCTGCCCGTGCACCTCTTGTCAGACACCTCTGGAAGTAGTGACAAGGGATGTAAGGACACAGCGAAGCACAGGTGCCGATACTGGGGACTGCCTGGTTCTTGAGGAGGCGCTTGAGTGCTTTGGACCAGCTGGTGAATCGGCAGGACCAAATGACACCGGGACCTCTTGAAACCAGGCAATGGGTATGAGGCCAAGGAAGCCCTGGCAGGATGTCGTTGCTCAGGATGCTGATGGAGCGATCCACCAAGTGGCAGACCAGGAGGGGAGTCAGATTTAAGCCGAGGCCATACACAGGGAGCCGAATCTTGAGGTGCCGAATCACAGATCAGGAGCAGGGTCAGGAAACGTAAGCCAGGGTCATACCCAGCAGATCACAGAGCAGAGGTACCGAATCAGGAGGAGGCGGAGTCAAATGGTCACAAGCCAGGTTCATACACAGAAAGTCAGGATACAAGAACAGAGTACAGGGCCCACAGGGACAAGCTGAAGACCACTCAGCAACTTGGTCATGGCTTCATGTCTGTTTAAATAGGATAGTGTGCACGCTAATGAACATGCACCTGTACGCTAACGAGCACGTTTCTGCACGATCACGTACGCGCGCTATTGCGCATAAACATTCCCGCACGCACGCATTCACGTGCTAAAGCGCGTTTTCCAGGAACTTTGGGCAATGGATTGCATACTTGTGCACGTGCATGTTTTTGAGCAGGAGTCCATCTGCAGGTAAGTCTCTTACAATGCTAAGAGCGTATGTGTTTGCCTCCTTGCATACAGAGCGAACGTTCACGGAGTTTCCCAAGACAAATGGCTCCGCGAACTGTTTATAAAGACACCCCCTGGTGTTCCCAGAACTTCATGTCACGGGCAAGCCAACAGATTTTGGTGCTGAGTTTCCAGCTACACTGTATGCCTAGATGTAAACCCTTGGAGCGGGGAGGTTGGGTTTACCGTATGCATATCATCACCTCGTCTTCTGATTTGAGTATAGCGCAATAAATTCAAGGAAATTGCAATTAAGACAATTGCGTGCAGTTAGTAGCTCTGGACTCTCAGCCCACGGCAGTAACAGGCTAACGAGCTGCCGCAGACTTGCTCTTTCCCGATCCTATCCCGCTAATGCATTATTAATGGTTGTCTCTTTATCACACTTTAAAACACATTAGTATTTCTAAAGCATCCAGGTGTACCTTCCTTTAGGGGATGTTGCCTTCTCCTCCATTAAATGATAAGCAGAACGCCATTCGGCTTCCACTGCTCACATAGTGAAACGTGAACCCATCACTCAGCCCCCCATTATCAGAACGGCATCGGCTTTAATGCAGATATGTAGGATCGCTTCCGGCATCTCTGCGCCTATCAACAAAACAGGTTCCTCTCTTTGGACCTGGGATGATAATTGTATTTACTGCACATTCATTGCAGAGTTTCATTTGGTAATTGACTGTCCCCATATGAATTTCACTAAAGCTTAGACAGCCGACAATGAATCACTTTATTAATTAACATGAAGATAAAAGTTTAAGCGTCATTGTAAAAAGCCAACATAAATGACAGGGTGAAGGGGAAGGCACCAGGGTGTAATTAATAAGAGCCCCGCTGGTCTTGTTACTAAGATATGAATGTCAGATTCACCAAATATTCACCGACCAATCTTTGTCTAATTTATGGAGTACATTCAGACTGTGATGAGGAAGCGAAGGGAAGGTAACTCTAAGCTGCTGTTGGGGCCGCCATTATTTCAACGGCAATCTTCCCATAAGATTATATCTGCATGTAAATGTATGGTAGGCATGTTATTTACATGTTAAAGCCTCCGTTGTGTAGCCCGGCATTTGTTAACCAGTCAAGGCACCCTTTAAAAGTATGCACAATCTTGAGGCACCCCAGTCTAAATGTAAAAAACGGTGTGTGGCCTCTTTAAAACCCATAACAGACCCTTATCCTAGATAGCAGTATGGTATTGATATTAAAGGGGGGGACCTCACACAAACACAAAATATAATGGGTTTCCCCCTTCACATCAGAGTTCCCCTTTCAAATTGGGAGCCCCCTTTACACCAGAGTCCCCCTTTCATATCAGGAGCCCCCTTCACATCAGTCTGTCTCCATTTCAGATCGGGAGCCCCCTTCACATCAGAGTTTCCCTTTCAGATGTGGAGCTCCCCTTCACATAAGAGTCCCATTTCATATCAGGAGCCCCCTCCACATCAGTTTCCCCTTTCACATCAGGAGCCCCCTTCACACGA